GAGAAAGCATGAGCAGGGAGGGGCAGAGAGAGGGAGAGAGAGAATCACAAACAGGCTCCATGCTGTCAGCACAGAACCGGATGCTGGGCTCAAACTCACAAATTGCGAGATCATGACCTGAGCCAAAATCAAGAGTCAGATGCTTAATTGACTGAGCCACCCAGGTGGTCGCAAATCACTTTTTTAAAAAAGATACAAATTCTCTAGCATCATTAAAAAAAAAAAAATAGGCACTTAACCAATGATACTTGGTGCTGCAATTTTATCTTCAAGCTTTCAAAAATTAAACAGTGTTAAATTGGTAAATAAATCTGTACCAAGCAACTTTACACACAGGTTTAAAATATTCTGAACTGGGGCACTGGGTGGCTCAGTTGGTTGAACATCTGACTTCGGCTCAGGTCATGATCACGTAGTTCATGGGTTTGAGCCCCATGTCAGGCTCTATGCTGACATCTCAGAGCCTGGAGCCTGCTTTGGATTCTGTGTCTCCCTCTCTCTCTCCTCCTCTCCCATTCATGCTCTGTCTCTCAAAAATAAATAAAAGTTTAAAAAAATTAAAACAAAATATTCTCAACTGGAAAAAGTGCCTCCCATCACTTCCATATTCTACTTCTGTCATTCCTTATCTCTATCATTGAGTTATGACTGCATGTATGAACTAATGACATAAAACTCAGACCTGACCAACATAGACAACAAAAACAGGGGAGGTAATAAGCATAGGAAAATGGTGAACCACTAATTTCATTCCAGTTCTCAAGTTTTGGAATGCTTTGGTCTTTAAAATAATTGCTAAATCTTTTTTTTATTGCCAATAGTAATATTTTCTTTTGAAAACTAAATAGATTAAAAGATGTTCCTTTTTTTTTAATGCTATCTATGAGGTCCTGTATATTATTATTATTATTATTATTATTATTATTATTATACTGTCTCCAGCATGGTGATTCATATGTTTTAGAGAAGGAAAGGATCTTAAAATACATCATTCAACCTAAAATCCCAGTCTTATTTTACAGTATTCATTCATCCATTCAAACAAATATATGTTAAGAAGCTAATTCATTCAAATAAATATTACTAAGCATCTGTGATGTGCTAGGCACTATGCAGAGTACCAGGGATGGAATGTTGAGCAAGAGAGACATAGTGTTTGTTTACTGGAAAAGATTAAATAAACATTAACAGTAAAATATAATAAAACCTAAGATGGGAAATCCAAGAGGCTTTGAAGTCACAAGATAAGAATAATTCAATTTTTCTTGGGAATGGGATGAGAATTTAAATTGAGATGCAAAGAATATAAAGGTTGGGGAGAAAATGTTTCCAAGGAAAGAAAATATGGCTTTCTAGCATGGGGCCAGCCTCGAAGTTGGCCCCCGCTGATCTCCATTCCCTGGTACTCATGCCTCGTGCAGTCCTCTTCTGTACTTACCAGGGTGGATCTGTGTGCCCAGTGAGTAAAACAGAGCAGAAGTGACAATGTCACTTCTAAGATTACATTATAAAAGACACTTCGATTTATGTTGTGGTCTCTCTCTCTCTCATGCATTTGTGCTCCTGAACTCCTCTCTCATAGGGAAGTCATGTCATGAGTAGTCCCATGATGGGAACCTAATGCTTCCTGCCAAAAGCAGAGTGTGCTTGGAAGGAGATCCTCTGTGCCTCATCAAGTCATCAAAGACTATAACCCTGGCTGACAGTGTGACTGCACACCATGAGACACCCTGATGCTGCAACACCCAGCTCGGCTGCTCCCAGATGCCTGACCCTCAGAGACTGAGATAATTAACGCTCGTCATTATAGATGATGCAGTTTGCGAGTAGTTTGTTTGTTACACAGCAACAATTGACAGCTAAAGCTCTAGCAAAGTTAAAAAAAAAAATGAGAAGCACAGAATATGAAGTGTAAAAGAAGGGACAGCTTTTGTTTAAATGCTATAAGAAATGTGAATTTTGCATCATCGGATGCCATATTTCTGGAATTATAGGGTGTTACGTTTCCTCCAAATCCTCCATTCACTTCATTAAGAATTTGGTGAGTGATCATCAATTCTCTGTTAAGTCTCAAGTATTAAACACAGGGACATCACATACAATTCACTTTATGACAGTGTGATACTCAGACTACAATAGCTGCTAATAAATGTTCAATAATGTAGCATATGGTGTATGTATGTGTGTAGATATGCATTCACATGCTGGGTTAACAAAGCAAAGGGCTGGGTTACATAGTAAGTATAACTGACAAAACAAATCAGAGCAGAGTGTTTTTTTTTAATCCATACCATTTCACTCTTCAGCAAAGCCAATCCAATCTGGTCAGTGTGAACTTTCCTTCCCATCCCAAATCTCTGCGGTCCATAGTAATTTACAAACCCTTTATTCTACGAATACAAGAAAATCAATCATTAAAAGCATATTATTATGTGAGCACTGGGTGTTGTATGTAAGCGATAAACCACGGGAATCTACCCCCAAAACCAAGAGCACACTGTATACAATGTTAGCCAATTTGACAATAAATTATATTAAAAAAAATTAAAAACTAAAATTAAAAAAAAAAAGCATATTGTTATGGACTGCATGCCTGTATATCCCCCAAAATTCATACGTTGAAATCCTAACCTCCAATGTGATGGTATTTGGAGGTGGGGACTCTGGGAGGTAATCAGAGCTCTCATGAATGGGATCAGTGCCCTTCTAAGAAAAGACCTTGGAGCTAGCTCACTCTATTTCCACCATGTGAGAATACAACACAAAGACAAGGCTGGCACCCTGATCTCAGGCTTCCAGCCTCCAGCATGATACAAAATATATTTTTGTGATTTAAAAGTCACCCAGTCTATGGGTCTTTGTCATAGGCCCAAAGTGACTACAACAAATTAATAGAATTATTGTGTCAGATATCTAATCAAGTTTCCTCCTCATATTTATTTTAATAAAAGAATACTGTAATCAGCAATATACACATGGGAACCAAATGGTCTGAGATATGCTATACAATTAAAGAAAAGAAAGAAGAAAAACAAACAATTAAAAGTTAGAAAATAAGGCCAGCAAAAAAAGCCTTAAAAAAATAGGTCAGCTTTCCATTCATATTACTGAAGGGTATTCTAGGATGCAGGACTTTCAATGCTAAAATTGGGGAAGTTCTGGGAAAACTGGGATGAACTGGTTACTGAGTGTGATCTTTGCTCTAAAGCTCTTTCTGATTCTGAGATGCTCCTGTTGTCTGGAGATGCTGGGAATAAGCAATACATTTACTTCAAACCCAGCAAGTCTTAGTTCCTTTATACAGAACAATTCATTTTTTAATTATCTCAGTTTCTAAAGACCTGAGTCAAGAGAATGACATGGCATCACTTCCCCAAGAACAGAAAATTGTAAATTACTCTGCAACCTTAAAGACAATAATAGTCAGTGGTTAAACATGCTCTCACAAGGAAAACATCAGGGCCCAGATGGTTTCTTGAAAGATAAGAGTCTTCCACACTCACTTTATGAGAGGAGATCATATTTATTCATTCAGCAATTATTACTTCAAATTTGGAAAAATAATATCAAATAATATCCTCGAATAACCAGAAGAGTTTTAAATACCCCTTCAAATTACTTAGGGCTGGATATAACAAAAGGTTTCTAGTGGTCAAAGTTATAACCGTCTAAAACAAAACTTCAAAGACTTCTTATTTTCAGAACTAAAGGTAAGTTGGCTAAAGCTAAAACCATTTCTAATGGGGATTTTATAACTAGCAGTTGTGCATCCATAAGTTCCAAATGAAAGACAGGCAATAAATGCTATCAGACTTCAGAGAAATTTTCTCCCCTTTTTAAGGGATATTATTTTGGTAGCAGTTTTTCAGGACAGAGAAAAGAATTTTAGATACAGAAGTAAGGGAAAAACAACCATATAAGGGGTATACAATCAAAGAGTGTCTATGCACAGGTAAATGTGCTGAATTTTAAAAATCTTTATTAGAAGTCATTTTCCTGGCTATAAGGCATAATAACTGATTAAAAACCTGGCTTTTTGTTTGTTTTTCTTTGGAGAGGAGTAAAACTGTGTAAAAAGGTCTTTGTGGTCAGAATCTTATATCAGTGTTTCTCAATGTTAGCTGTAGAGTAAAATCAGCTAGGGAGTTTTTAAAAAGATATTAATAAACTAAGCTGCATTCCCAAATGTTCTTATTTAATTGGTTTGGGGGTAGAGACTGACTACTGAGATTGCATACAAGCATCCCAGATTGAGGATTACTGGTCTAGATCAGAACTTGTCAAACTACTAATGGCCTATAAGTCAAATGTGGCCCTACACCTATTTTTGTAAATAAAGTTTTATTAGAACACAACCATGCTCATTCATTTATGTATTGTCTATGGCTGCTTCCACACAATGGCAGTATAGTGCTTGCAAAAGAGACCATATGCCTAGCCCTCTACAGAGAAAGTTTGCTAACCATACTCTAGATGATCAGACTGAAGGCTATGGTATGTTTAGATGCCTGGCAAATGTCACTTACATGTTTATGTTAAATAGCTTTTTATTGCAAGACATAATAAAATGTATGTGATTTACTACATTGAAAAAAATCATAATTAGACTAAAAAGAAAAAGATTGTATATAATTCTGATAAGTAATGTAACTATTTACCAAAGATTTCTGAAAAAAATTACTGAACAAATTTCCAAAAAAAAATAATCCTTTTGCCTAAAATACTACTCTATATGGCATGTGCTAAACATACAAATAACAACAAAAAAACCTACCTCTGTTCTTATATAGATAGCTTCCCCCTCCCCACACACTCTGGATAACACTATAAGTTACATTTTTAAAAATCACATTAGAGCTGTTTTTTAATACAAAAATATACTACCAAGAAAATTAAAAATAAGCCAAATGTCCCTGTCATTTTTTAAATAATTACATATACACATTTAAAAAAAGGTACAAAAGAAAAAGTTTTTCTTCCTGCCTCAGTGTAAAGAGGACTATAAACATTTTCCTACAACATTATTTTAAAATTGAGTTTTCTTACCTTAACATTTTCTATTGCCTCTAAAATTCTGTCTTTCAGGTTTGCAGAGTCATTTATCTGGTTTTTTAAATTTCTGATGACAATATCAAAGTGATTTCCTTTGAGCTGACCAAGTCTAAGGGAATCATCTATAGATCGAATATTAAACACATTCATTCTTTTCTTTTCAATTTCTTTTTCAATATTTTTCAACCTATAAACGATAAATCATATAGACTCAGTTAAATCTTACATTTAAAAATTAACGTAAGTTTAAATGACAGTTGCCAGACAACCACTTATACCAGAACACCTAAAAATTCAAAAGTTAATGTTATTTCAACGAATGTGCACTAAAAAACCCATTATTATAGGATCATATTAACAGAGTTGTTTTATGATCTGAAACACATACTCCTAATGCTATTATCACTTTATCTGTGCCTTCTGACTTCTCCTTAATTTAACTGGTAAAAACCTCTTAACTGTTCTAGTCTTCCTGTCCTCAGACTTTGTTCCTTTTCTCCTCAGTCTCTCTTCCTCCAACATTACTAAGAAAAACCAGTAGCACCAGAGGATTTTACTAAAATTCTGCTCTGAACACATTTTCTTTAATATTTATTTATTTTTGAGAGTGGGGGAGGGGCAGAGAGAGAGGGAGACACAGAATCCAAAGCAGGCTCCAGGTTCTGAGCAGTCAGCACAGAGCCCGATGTGGGGCTCAAACTCATGAACCATGAGACCACGACCTGAGCAGAAATCGGATCTTCAAACAAATGAGCCACCCAGGCGCCCCTGCTCTGAACATTTTCTTCCTCAAACTTTCAATTCTTCCCCAAGTCTAAAGAATAGATTCCAATTATTAGCATACCTTTAAAGACTCTGTAAGAAAGCATTTTCTTTACATTCATATTTTCTGTCATACTTATAGGAACTGTTTTATCAGGTAGGTAGTTAACTTACTGCTCGTCCAAATACATCTTCAAGTTTTTTTCATCTGCTAAAATCTTACTATTACTTGAAGGGTAATTAAAATCCTATACCCATTAGCCAAATCAAAGGGCTCTCTCCTCCTAGGAATTAATAATATTTTGTCTTTAGTAGTTGAAAACCAGTTTCTAACATCTAAATATCTTTGAAAGCTAAAGTCTTTCTCTCTTACTATACTGTACTTAAAAAAAAAATTTTTTTTATGTTTATTTATTTTTGAGAGAGAGACAGAGACAGAGCATGGGTCAGGGAGGGACAGAAAGAGGGAAACAGAACTTGAAGCAAGCTCCAGGATGCTGAATCACTATGCTGTGTATCTGACACTAATGTAATATTTTGTGTCAAGTATACTAAAAAAAAAAAAAAAAAAAAAAAAAGAAAAGAAAAGAAAAGAAAAAAAAGAGGTTACTGTGGCTATTCTGAGTAGTGGAATTATTAGTGACTTTTAACTTCATTCTTACATTCTTCTATTTTCTGAATCTACTATAATAAATATGTATTTATTTTACAATTACAAAAAATATTTTTAAAATTTGAGAAAGCTGAAAGGAGGTTAATTTGAATACTTTACTCTTCATTTAATGAGGATTTATTTTATTTTATTTTATTTATTTATTTTTTTAACGCTTATTTATTTTTGAGACAGACAGAGACAGAGCATGAACGGGGGTGGGTCAGAGAGAGGGAGACACATAATCTGAAACAGGCTCCAGGCTCTGAGCTGTCAGCACAGAGCCGACGCAGGGCTCAAACTCACAGACCGTGAGATTGTGACCTGAGCCCAAGTCGGCCGCTCAACCGACTGAGCCACCCAGGCACCCCGAGGATTTATTTTAAATGTAAGGAACCATGACGATAAAAGCGTAAAAAGTATTATAGTAATTAAAAATACATACATTTGTAACACACTGTCCTGAATATAAATGCATATTCAAATATGGTACAGGGTATTTTTTAAACCTTTAATTTTATGTCATCTCTATACCCAACACAGGGCTTGAACTTACAACCCTGAGATCAAGAGTCACAGGCTATACCGACTGTGCCAGCCAGGCGCTGGTACAGGATTTTCAGAAACAATTCAGATCATTTAAAATCTTCCACTTCTCAAAGTGTCTGTCTTAAAACAACCTATATTTGTAGTATAAATTTAATGTTTATTTATTTTTGAGAGAGAGACAGAAAGAGAGAGAGAGTCCGAGTAGGGGAGGAACAGAGAGAGAGGGAGACACAGAATTGGAAGCAGGCTCCAGGCTCTGAGCTGTCAGAACAGAGCCCAACACGGGGCTCGAACCCACAAACTGGGAGATCATAATCTGAGCCGAAGTCAGACGCTTAACCAACTGAGCCACTCAGGCGCCCCTTCAGTGTAAATTTAAGACATAATGCTATTTAGATGATAATTATATTATTAAAGAATGTGCTGTTCAGTAAGCTTTCAATCAATTAATTACTATTGGAGCGCCTGGGTGGCTCAGTCGGTTGAGCGTCGGACTTCAGCTCAGGTCATGATCTCGCAGTTCGTGAGTTCAAGCCCTGCGTCGGGCTCTGTGCTGACAGCTCAAAGCCTGGAGCCTGCTTCCGATTCTGTGTCTCCCTCTCTCTGCCCCTCCCCTGCTCATACTCTGTCTCTCTCTGTCTCTCAAAGATGAATAAACGTTAAAAAAAATTTTTTTTAATTACTATTGATAGTGAGGTTAATATGTTCCTAGTGTTCTGATTTTTTAAATCTTACATTTATCTATCTGATGCAATAAGATAGAAAAGTTCTATCTTATAAAGTAATGTCATATTACCTCTCTGGAGTCACTTTTCTAACAACCATTGCTTGATAGGTGACAGCTTTCTTGTCTTTAAGGCCTGCATAACTAAAATCTGAAGGAATCACACCAAGTTTCATAGCTAAAAAACCAACTGCTTCAAACATTTCCAGATTTTCTTTCCGTAGCGTAAAGGCTGAAACAAAGAAAAACCCAAGATTACACACACACACACACACACACACACACACACACCAGCTGTGATACATCAATTACATTCTTAGTAGACAAACAGGTTAATATAATGAATCAAATTATTTATTTAAGTAGGTATAAGTATTTTTTAGTCAAGATACAAAATCAGTGTCTTAGATTACAACTATCATTTAAAAAATACTAATTGGCTCAGCAAAGGCTTACAGAAAAAAACATCTAAATTCCTTAATTGGGCATTCATATCTGGCCACAATCTCCCTTTTCAGTCTCCACATGTGCCACTTCCATTCATGTATCTTATACAACCCAGAGACTATCTCATAATTCCTGGATGGACTAGATCCTTCCACAGCTTTGTACTTGTGCACATTTGAATCCCTCTGTTTAAATGTGTTCCTCCCATTTTACTTGCAATGCTTGTATGCACTCCTCATGATCCAACAACAGCAGCAGTTCTCTCTCAAATTCTTTCCACCTTCCCCACACTGAATGCTCCTAAGCAGGGATCGTGTTGGTTTTCTCAATCGTTAACACCCACAGCCTAACACACAGTAAGTATGCAGATAATTGTCAAGTGAATGAATAAACTCCACAACGTGTTGATTACATAATCTGGCATGTCTCCACAAGTTGTCATTATGGATATCATGACACTTGCCATTATAATTTATCTCTTTATGTTTGTCCGCCCCACAAATTGGTAGTTCCAGGACAGCAAACCAGTAGATAGAAGGGTGCTTGCCTTGTGGTAGGTGCTTAAAATGTCTACCAGATGACACGGTGGGAGTGAGATTATGGAGGCAGGGAGAAGGAACAAGCCCAGTACCAACTAACACCAAAGAAGTTCCCCCATATGCTGGCCTACATAACCCACCAGCATTGATAGTAACAAAATACCACTACCCACAAGTCACCATATTTACATATAAGATACATCAAACTATTGCCCTCTTCCCTCAAGTCATGAAATGGAAACACAGGGTTTTTTGCAAAATAATTTATATTTTGTTCAGTTGTCATAATTGTCATCGGCAGCTACAAGGGTCTCTGTGAATCATGAGTACTCTAGGAAAAATGAACATTAAACATAAACATGATTCAGGAAGTAGAAGGATGTGAACTCTATCTATCTATCTATCTATCTATAAATATATAAAATAGCTAAACAAGAGCTTATAATATCCACACTTTAGAATATCATGCAGTTGTTTAAAAGAATGGGGAAGACCTGTTATTTATATCTCTTAATGAATAATCTCTAAAAACATGAAAATAGCAGGTTTCAAAAATATGCATAGTGCATATAATTTATGTAAAAGTTTTAAAAATCTACAATGCAATATTGTATATTTTCAATGTTTTAATTTTTAAAAGAAAAATATTTTTGCTTGCACATTTAAGAATTGTTAAAGTATAAACAGATATAATTTCTGAAGAATATTCAGGCACTATCCATTACTTTCTAGATATTTTTTACCACTAGGGCCATTATTTTTTATATGATCATACAGCTTCCTAGATTTCTCCAAATTTTCTATTATAGCCGTGATAAGTTAAATTTACTATGACTTCTGTTATTCTTAAAGAACTGATAAAAGAAGTAAAAGAAAGGAAAGAATCATACACGTCAATTCTGTGTCTAAGTTACAATCTGTTCTTTACACTTTCACGTTATCTTAACCAAACGGATTCGAATATAAACATCTTAGTCCAAGACTGCTGTTTATATCACTTGTTTCAAATAAAATGAAATTAAAAGCCCATATTTAAAATGTAGAGGAATTATAACCTCAAAATATCTCAGCTTTTGTCATGACAGGATTTAATTATACAGTTTAAATAAAATGATTTAGGAAGATGTGCTAGGCTAAGGATACAATGGTCAATAAAAAAAAAAAAAAAAAAAAATGGTCCCTGTCTTGGAAGCATTTAGTCTTAAGAGGCCTAAAATAATTTGAGGAAGAAGTGCCTCTGGAGGTTTAAAGAATGAACAGAAGCATGGTAAGCAGCCAAAGCAATAAGAAAGATAGAAATATCAAATATTTCTGTTTTTGTAAGATTTATGGGACCTTATTATTTCATAGGGTCTATAATGTTCTCCCTTTCCCAAGTACATACCTGTGTGAAGCTAAGTTTTGTTCTTTTGACTCATTCAAAACAAGAAATTCCAACAGACTGAATGCAAGAACAGATATGAGAATCCAGCTGACTTCTATGAAATCAGGCATTAGAAAGATTTGCAAAACTGTAAAACAATGCTTCTTGTCACTAATTTATAGTTGAAATATGTTTTTTCATTAAAATTCTTATCATTTTAATAGTAATAGATTATTTTAAACAACTTCATACATTAAATTTTTTTTTTAAATTGAAGTATAGTTGACAAACAATATTACTTTAGTTTCAGGTATACAACATGGTGGTCCAACGATTTTTCTGTTTTAATAGGTTAGATATCAATAGGTAATAAACACACAAACGAAAGTTGTTTGTGGTCTCCGATAACTTATAAGAGCTATCCCCTTCAGGTGTCCTAGAACCAAAATGTCTGAGAGTCAATTAGGAACATTTTGAAAAAATACAGGGAGCCCCTCAAGTATATCAAATTTGTGGAACTAGACAGAAGTCACTAAAATATTTTTTAAATATTTTTTAACGTTTATTTATTTTTAAGAAAGAGAGAGAGAGAGACAGAATGTGAGCAGGGAAAAGGCAGAAAGAGAGGGAGACACAGAATCTAGAGCAGGCTCCAGGCTTCCAGCTGTCAGCACAGAGCCCGATGCGGGGCTCAAACTCATGAACCCTGAGATCATGACCTGAGCTGACATCGGACACTTAACCAACTGAGCCACCCAGGCACCCAAGTCACTAAAATACCTGAAGAGTAAAAGAAATGCAAAATTCGGTCAAGTGTTGCAGCAGCAGGGCTAGGTGTCACAAACTTTTCAAAGTAGGCCAGGAAACTGTATTCCAAAAAAGGCCAAGAAACAAATCCTTAAAAGTTTTGAAGTTTATGTATTTGGTAACTAGGGTTTAAGGTGTCAAATCTACCCCTGACAATGTGGGTATGTCACTCACTAGCTGTTAAGCAAGCTCAGCCATGTAGGAAGGAACCTCCAAATTGTCTGAAATTATATAATTTTTGTGGATTAGCCGTAGAGCATAAGCACTTTTTATTTCATTTGTGAGGATTTAGAACTTAGAATAGGAATATTAAGGAGAATCAAACCCATAATTTTAGTGTTTGTATAAATGAATCTGTGTCTTACATACTTGGAATGTTTAAGAGAACAAGACTCCCATATATTCCAATTACAAATATCTAATTGATTTAAATTTGTCTTTTTACATTGAAATCTCATTAAGTTAGTAACTAATAAGGAAACAACACAGGAAAACTTAAAGATCACCAAATTTATAAGTTTAATTTATAACATTTTCTTAAATACTTGGAAAAAGTGAAGTGTTTAAAAAGAAAACCAACTATGCTAAATTTTAAAATTCACGTTTAGAGGGGCACCTGGGTGGCTCAGTCAGTTAAGTGTCCAACTTTGGCCCAGGTCATGATCTCGCGGTTCATGGGTTTGAGCCCTGTGTCTGGCTCTGTACTGACAGCTCAGAGACTGGAGCCTGCTTTGGATTCTGTGTCTCCCGCTCTCTCTGTTCCTCCCTGGCTTGCACTCTGTTCCTCTTTCTCTCTCTCTCAAAAAAAAGATTAAAAAAATCAAAATAAAATAAAATTCACTTTTAGAGAATTCCACTTGTTAGAATAATTGGTACTAGATTCGACCTCCCACTGTAAACAAATAGAAAGCTGGACAAAACACAAGAAACACCCGTTTTTAGACACCAGAGAACAGGCAGCATAGAATTATGATCCAAAAAGAAAAGGAAAACAAAGTAGGTGAGTCCTAAAATACTGTTTGTTTGTGTGTTTGTTTGTTTGTTTGTTTTTGGCATAGAGATATTTACTTGACCACAGCACATGGAGGAATCCAGGGAGAACACAGTGGTTGTACTGAATTAAAAGGGTGGAGGTTAGAGTTCAGGAAGGCTGAGTGGGCTGGAATTCACAGGGCAGAGTTCTAGATAAGAGGAAGCTATGTGTGCACAAAGAGTTCCAGAAATCTGCATAGGTGATCCCTTGAGGTGTTTGCTTTTTAGTAATCTACACATACCTAGGGTTAATTGCTATATACTATTTATCTAATGTTGCATAACAGGTCACTGCAAACCTCAGTGGCTTACAGTGTTCATTTATTTCTCATAGAGCCTGTGGGTCAGAGATTCAAGAGCAGCTTGGTTTGGTGGTTTGAGTTCATGCTCTCTCAAGAGGCTGCAGTTAGATGTGGCTGGGAATATAGTTATTCAAAAGCCTGACAGGAGCTGAAGGATCCATTTCCAAGGGGACTCACCTACATGGCTGGCAAGTTGTATTGGCAGTTGGCTACAGCCCTCAGCCCTCCAGCGAGCCATATGTATATCTTCACAGTATAGTAGCCGGCTTACCCTACAATGAGCAATCCAAGAAACATGGGCAAAAAGTATAATGCTACCTATGATCTAGCCTTAGAAGACACATACACCATCACTTGTGTCATATTCTACTGGATGCAAAAGCCACTCTGTGTGAGTACCAGGAGAAGAGCATTAAGAATCTTGGGGTTGAGAACTACGATCCACCTTTTGGCTCGAATACTTTTAGTACGACCACACAAACCCCCAATTCAAAACATACTCATTCCTTCCCAAGGCCTCCAACACTCATACGATTAAAACAGTTCAAATTCTAGCATTTTTTTTTTATCTAAATCAGGCCCAGCTATAGATAAGGTTCCTTGAATACATATCAAATCAGAATCCTCAAATACAATTTCTCTTAATATGAAGGCTCTGAAGGACCGTGACACAAAGAGACAAATCTGCTTTTCACACACCTTGAAATGTTGAAACACACATAGGACAAGTGCTATATACTCT